ACCCTAACTATTCTATAATTCTGTAATTCTAAATGCACTTACGAAACAAAACCAGACGAAGTTGAGAAGCCTTTGGTGCATTCAGTCTTATTTTTTCTTTTGCAATAAATTTAATACCATTGAAGTAGAAAACACCCCATACAATAAAGAAGTCATTTTGGTTTTGTTCCCCCCCCCCTCCAAAATAAATATGTTCCTGCTTGTTACACAAAAGCTAGAACATAAACTATTCCCAAAAATGTACTGCTTTGTTGAAAAGCAGTAATAATTTTCTTCACCAAAAAGTAACACATACCCACAACTACTTAAAAGGAAGGGATCCCAAATTGAAGTCTGGGAATTTAGAATCAGGATTTATATCCTCAGGAGGACTGCAGTAGACACTGGCAGCTGTGAAATAAACCCCTAACATTACATACCAACTTTGCTTTTTTGTGCTCCTACAAGTCACTTCCTTGTGGCCATTTATTTGTGTTTTCCTTTAAGTCTTTAAAAATAACACCACCACTCCCCTCCCCACCTCCCCACCCCCCTCCCCAAATCTGATGCCTGTTGAAGTAGTAGAAGCGGTTCAACCTTAAAAGTACTAGAACCTGGAAAACTGCTCCATCAGAAATTCCCCCTGGTGTTTCTGATGCTGATAGCAGAAGATGGAGTGGCTGAACTTGGTCCTTTGCTACCTCTGTGGGTTATATTCCTTCCATTCATCTCATTTGGCAAAAAATATTCCAGAGATCACCAGCTGTTAAGCAATGGTTTGACTTGCACATACTTTGGTCTTTACTCTGTTGAGTTGGCAGCCAAGGGAAATCACAAAAACCCGTTCTTTTCCTCACTGTGCTCTACCCAAGTGCCAAAAGACATTGAGCCAATGTGGAGGAGGGAGCAGAGAAGTGGGCAGTGGTGGTAGAGGAACAAAAATTAAATGTGTTCATGCACATACTGAACATACTAAAATGTGTTGGATCCAGCCAAGAATACTATCTTCTGTTCATCTGTTCTTCTGAAGTCTGTAGAAGTAGTAGTTTCTTTTTCCGATATTCTTCATTCTCCTGCTCTGCTTCCTCAGCTATGGATTTCCTTATACACACTTTTAGTTCCTCAATTCCTTCTCCAGTATGTGTAGATATAGGAATTATATCTTTGAATTCAAGTGTATTTTCAGGAATCATTTCTTCTCCTAGTAAGTGTAAGAAGTCTGAAAAATCATATTGAAAGAGTTAGTACAATCCCCAAACACTGTATCACTACAAAGCCCATAAAAGTGCATTACATTTAGAAAATAAGCTTTAACAAATCTCAGTAAACATAACTGCAATTAATATGGAAGTTATTATTTGCTTAATCTTTAAAAAATAGCTAAAGTCTTAGAAGGCAAGCACTAACACAACAGTTATACCATATTTATGCTCTCATAAGAAGATTCTACACCTTCCTTTTAAGATGAGTACGAAGAAATCCCAAGTTGCAGGATACGGGAGATGGATGGCTTTCATCTTTCCTGGTTATTATACACTCAAGAAAATGGGAAGAAATGCACCCCAAGGTAATAGCAAATTTTAAGTAAACCTGTATAAGCCTGTCCAGAATGTTCACGTGTTTTGGCCAGAGAATTGTCTGTAAGGGGACCTTCAACGGAGGTCACTGTTATCCTACATACCTAGACCGAATATTTACTCTTCCCTATCATAGCTAGGGAAGATCTTCTAGGATATCTCTATTTTATTAAAGTATTACCCCAACAGTGAAGCAGCACTACAAATGCATATAAACAGAGCTCTAAATGCAGAAAGTAGTTTTAAAACATACATTCAAATAATAAATTTAATAGCTGACTTCAGTTTCAAAAGACTCCTTGCCAAAATGATGAAATCTTATTATGACTTGTTGAAGGCAATCATTGGAAGTTAATCTACCTTGAGGATTCTGTAGTTGTTTCATAAGTTCGTTCAAGTTATCCTTTGCACAAGGCAAATCCATCTTATTAATGGCAAGAAGTGCAGGCTTTGTTAGCAGTTCCTCTTTGTACAGCTCCAGTTCCTTAAAAGATAAGTAAATTTGCCTTAGTAAGTATTTGCACTTTAACAAGTGCTACTTCAGTTTTACATTAGTCTTTCATGCCTAGGCAGCTGTGAGATCAACTCAGGTGCTCAAGGTTGATGTATTAAGGCAACCTGACAGAAGAAAATAATGTTCAGTGATTTTTTTGTTCAAACTCAGATATTTCAGGTAAACAGGCTGGCTAATTCTGAAACAGCCCCCAGTAAAAATAATGAGTCTTGGTTTTGTTTTTCTGATAGCCACAAACACAAAATCAATTTCAAAAAAAGTTCAGATCTATAAAAAATGTAAGGAAAGTCTTTGGAGAGTTTTCTGATTCTTAATGACTTAAGTGGACAATGGTTAACATCAGAAATAAAATCACAACCATGAATAAGCTAAAAATAAACAGCAATAGCTGAAATTCAGAAGATTGATCATCTTAAGTCATGTAGCTAGAGAGAAAACAGCTGCTAAACCTGAAATGCTTTATTTTAATCAGAAGCAATGGTAAAAGATGGAAATTCTCAATATCTGCACAGCTGGGGCCTGATGTCTCATCTCCATTAGGCTCTGCAGCAAGGGCACCAAGGCAGGGATTTAACTGTACCCATGTATTTCTGCTTCCTAAAATGCATCCAGACTAGGGAACTGAACATGATGTATCTTTTCACTTTGACTGTAAGAAATATCCCATATGCTGCACAGATTAATGAAGGAGCAGTTGCGCCCAACATAAAATACAGCAGTTTCACCTGGACAGTTAAAAATAAAGATTTCATCATTTTGATGATTCTAAGCTTGTTGAGTAGAGAAGACACACTAACATTTTGAAAGTTCTTGATCAAAACTGAGCCTCTTTCTTGCCTCTACACGTAACTACAACCACCAACTAGGAAGATGAGAACTCACCTTTGTTAGAAGCAGTATAGTTTCAAAGGCTGTTCTGAACTGAGTCTTAACAGACAGTTGAAACCCAGAAATATCAACCTGAAAAAGTGACACAAGAACAAGCTTTGTGGTATTAAGTTATGGTACAGTATCAAGGTACTCTCCATCAACTAATTCACAGTACAATGTCCAAGTACATGCCCTCATTCCTAGGAAATAACAGAGGCCGAGCATACACCAAAGTAATACTACAGACACTGGAAGCACAAAGTGGTTGGTTCTGATAAAAGGTTTGATTTTTAAACCTCTTCTTTATGGGATCTTACAGAAAAAAGAAAGAAGGAAAGATCACTGCATGCTTTAATTATGCTTGGAACAATCCACTGCTCTAAATTAATTGGCTAAACTCTATTTAAGGACTTAATTTACCATCAGTTGTTTGAGCATTCCATTCTGAAAACCATACTGCAGCTACATTTATCATAAACATGCAAATTACAAACGATTTCCAAAATTCCAACTATACTGCAATTAATGTGCATTTTATTTACTGCACTGCCTTTGATTTCAGTAAGCTGTAAATTTTTTTTCACTTACAACTAAGAGAAGCTGTTTGGTTCTTTCTACGTGTTTGAGAAATTTGTGGCCCATCCCTTTGTTTGCATGTGCACCTTCAATCAGTCCTGGGAGATCAGCTACCAAGATCTAGGGAAAATTCCAACAAGCAGAAATGGTTATTTTAAACCATCAACATCTATTATCATTTTATATAAACAACAGAACCCAGACAAAGGAATGTCAGGAATATCTTTTTTGAGAGACTCCTTTTACAACTATGTGTATTCCTTGCAATTGGGTGGGGGATCAGTTCTCCAGCAGTTCGATTAGTATATCAGCTTCCAACCAGAGCCAGCAAAGACTGTCCTGATGGAAAGGGATTTTGTCATTTTCTATGCTGGTTGTACACAGTTGTAAAGGAGAGCTGAGACAGATTGAGAAAGAGCAGTATACTAAAGCCCAAAATATCTACTCAGCAACTTAGAGAAAGTTAAGACAGTGAAGCAAAGAAGAGCAAAAGCAGGGTTGTCAAATCTATCCAATACCCATTTAGACAGCAACTAGATTCAACTGAACAATGCTCTAAGCCAGCACACAATAAAATTTCCAGTGTGCTACCTATGGCAGAAGGGTGCCTTCTGCTATGAGTGAGTTACACTCGCACTCATTTGTTACGCTAACTTTTAACTGTTATGTGTTTCCTAAACACTTGAAGCCTTCCTTCAGAATTTTCCATCTACAGAGGCATGAGATACAGCTGGATGAACTACAGGCTTATAACTACAAACAGGGAGAGAATTGCTAGAGAGTTAGAACAGAAACATCCACTTCTTGGTGTGATGGGTTGGATGGTAGCAGCTTTTTCCCCAACTTCAGTTGTCTTTGAAAGAGTATTTTTTATGGAGCTCACAAAAAGCCCCTCATATTCTCTCAAAACAGCACTTGGTACAGATATTCTGGTAGATGATGTAAATATTTCTGCTAGTTTCCATGATCTGGTATTAAGATCTGAATCCAGACTCTTACTCAGATCCTCCACTTTGTGTCTTTCCTTTTCCAAGTAGTAATGATACACAGCACCAGGTAACTTGCATGTAATTTCTTCTTCATGATGTACTAAGATAAAATAAGCAAATTGCTATCTATTTCCTTAAAAAACCCACCCATGTTCTGAATTAAAAAAAAAGAAAAAAAAAAAAAAGATATAATGAGCCATGCGCCCTTGAATACTCCAGGACGGTCACATCAATTATTGCTCTTAATTGCTTACATTGTTTTGTTTTCAGAAGTTGCAATACTCAAGAGCTGAATTACTTCCTTTTACTCACAAATGTTCCCTGTGATCACAATCACTAGGTTCCCTTGAATTTAGAAAATATTTTTTTTCCATATAGCTCCTATATAGCACCAAACATTGTAGTATAAAAAGCACGAACTGCAGAAACAGCCAACAATAATGGTCAGTTGCTGTGAGACAAAACAGACTGCAGGAAAGAAAGCCAAGTAGTTCTGCTGCAGAAAGATACACCAGTAAGAGCAAGAAGTCCTGATTCATGGCAGGTGGGTAGTTTTTTAAAAAGGCTATCAGCAATCCTGTTATTTGCAGCCAAGCTTTCTAGGACAAGCTAGCCTAAACTAGCAGATAAAATGGACATACAAAAAAATTTCCCTTAGATGTGCACATCTCTACAGGGAACCTGACAAACAAGACTTACTTCCTTTAACATACAGTTTTGTTAAAGGTTGTTAAATGACGGTTTCAAGCACCAGCTACTGAACCCCCCAAAGATTATTGCTTCTGATAGTGAAAAGAGGAGTTTTCTGTCTTTTCACATCTGAGAGGTATGCTTTTCTGGTTAACTCATCTGAAAACCTTTTATGCATTTGCCTTTAATCTTGCAAATGACGAGTCCAGTACTGCATGTATCATACTCTTCAAAGATAAAATAAAAGCACTTCAAAGAACATTGAAGCTTGAGGAATGAAAATGTTTGCTGTAACCTTACAAGAATTTGTGGTCCAAAATCTATTAGTAAGAGTCTCATTTAGCATTGGTTTTCCCACAAGCGGATACCGTAGAACGGATTCCAGGCACCACAGTGTTACCTGACAACTTTACCTGAAAAAACTGTGTGGAATTTGGGTTCACAAAAATTAAGGTGGTCGGCAGTAGCTCCACCAGTCCTCCAGAGGTACAGCTTATCAGAAAAGGAACTGGACCCAGCTACCTTACCTCTTAGGTTGTGTACTATCCTGGCTGTTCAGGCTGTCATGACTTCATACTATTTCAGTTTTTTATTAAACTAGACAAAGAAACAAACAAAACAACCAAAAAAATTCCTCCTCCCTCTCCAAACCCAAAAAACCCAAATCCAAGCCAAAATACAAAACACCAAGCACCACAACAAAACAAAACCCAAACAGAAGTTATAGCTGCCAACCTAGAAAGCCACAACAGTAAGTTATGGTAACTGGGTTATATTTGCTAAATTCCCTGTCATTCACTACTGCAAATCTCTTGCTATTGGACAAATATGCCACTGTCTAAAATCCATTCTTGAAATTACTTATTTATTCCAAAGCAATCTGTATAGTCAACTTGCATAAGATCTGCTTCTTCTAAAAAATAACAGGTTAGTCTCTGAAACAACGACTTTTTTTTGAAGTCCTAAACAAGAATTAAAACACAGCAATCTCAGTTCCACACACAAGTTCACAACTCTAAGGTTGTAAGGCAGGATTAGAACCACAGAAAGGAGAGAAGGGAAAATAAGAAGCCATTTTCCAAAGTGACCTGAAATTAGCTCAAGCTCATATTACTTACTAGCATTTGGCTTTAAAGTTCTCATCTTATTTTTATTTCATAAAAATAGCACTTTCTCCATAACTCTCATTAAGTCCATGTAATTGCATTTTATATGTATACATTATAGATACACATATGAAAACACCCTACAAGTTCCCCTTTTCTTTCTGAAACTATGTTAAGCAACATAACTAATCATTATACACAACTTTAACAAACAACCAGAATTAACTTTCTTACCAACCTGCTTATAATCCGCATACATGATCTTTCCTAGTTGAGGCTGTATTGTTGTAACTATGACAAGGGAAAAAGAGAAGGGGAAGAAAACAAAACTGGTTTTAACATTTTAAAAAGTATTCATGTTACAAAAGATTTAAATGCTGTGGGACTTATTTAAATGAAACAAATATTCAGCAGCAGAAAAAACCAACGCAAATGGGATGTTTAAAATTACTGGAAAAGGAATAAAGGAAAAGCAAACCATGAGAAAACAAAATTAGACCAATCATAAAACAGTGGCTCACCAAGTCTTGGCACTGCCTTCAGTTCTGTTCCTGTCATCCCCAAAAGGGATGGTGGGAAGAAGTCTCAGACACAGAAAATATTAACCAGATTATGGAATAGCTTCCAAAGAGGAAAAGAAAAAAATAAAGAAAGGCAAAGCGAAATGTGATTCTTCAAGCTGAGTTAAAATATGAAAAGGCTACACAAAATCAGGAGTGGTACAAGGTCAGTAGGAATTATTGGTACTTGTACTCTTGCTTTTTAATTAAAAAATCATCAGACAACTAAACCTGATTTACTGATGGAAAACTAGTAAAAGATTTCTGTCCACTTCCCAGTGAAGAGATTCAAAACCAAAGTCTTGCTCCATTGGAAGATCAGGTGGTAGCAAAACTCCAAAGCATACAAGATGTTTACGTAACGGAACTCGATGGTGCATGTTTAGTAGACATTACACAGCATGGAGTCTCACATGCAATAAAATGGGCTGAGACAAAAATAAATGGTAAATAGACCTTGCATGAAATTCAACATAGGCTGAAGCACTATGAGGGGGTACACATAAAAAATTGAGGTTGTTAAAGGAACTGGACACTGAAACAGCAAGTGTCTCTTAGCAGTATTTCTTATAATTAAAAATCTGTGTAACGTATTTGGCAGGCAACATGGTTATCTCTTAGTCTTTATTATAAACCTGTAAACCAAGTCAAAGAAAAGACTTCTTACTGTCATGAAATATTACTGCTTTAAAAATAAATGTGTGAACTTACATGCATAATTTGCAATCTCAGGTTTGGCATGAGAAACCTTGCTTAACAAGGATGATTTTCCCGCATTTGGAAACCTAGAAGGAAAATCAAGATTTATACACTGTATAAACTATGTGGTTCCTTTGTATTTTATTACCAAATACACTATATTACCTTAGTCAAACTCAATGCTACCAACTAAAAAATCAGAACAAAACTGAGACAATTATTTTTTAAAAATCAAATCTGAGTATTTTTTTCTAAATCCAATAACACTTCCAAAGATTAAGGCAAGAGAGGTATGTAAATACATGTGTAATAGATTTAAGGGTTCACTCAGATGAAAACACGGCATAAACATCTAGGTCTACTTGAATTCAGTCTTTGCATGCTATAGCTGATTTTGTAAAGTACATTTACATTCTAAGCACCTGCAGCAAATGCATTTTATCAGTTGGATTTAGTATTTTGGTATACAAATCATGGTTAATTAAACAGTCTACAATTTAAGTACCAATGACATCTATGCTACGGTTTTGCCAGTGTGGCAAAGCAGCTGTAAACTTTGTGTGAGAGAAACTTCATGTATATATGTGTGTGTATGTGTGTGTGTATATATATATATAAAAAAAAAATAAAAAGAGGGAGAGAGAGAGACTTAATACAGTTTGTATATGTTTTTTAGGCAACAAAGTTGTATGAGGGATCCTGAAATGAGGACTTTGTTACCAAATAAACCAAAAATAATACCGTTGAAGCCCTAGGAGCTGGTCTGTGCAGATCTGACTCTTGTAATAACCTTTTCCCTCTGCAAAGGATAGCTATACAAAAAACGTTCCCTAAGGGGTATGGTAGCTTTTACAAAAGCTTCTTCACAGAATACATCTACCCATTTCTGTTTGGCTTCAACAGAAACCTAAGTTAAAACTGAAATTATAAGACATGCTTATTTTAAAGATTAAAGATTGTAAAAGACACAATAGCCTTGATCCTTGTCAGACTTGAAGGTAATGCTAACAGCAAAGGTAGACTACAGTGCTTTTTCATAGCACCTGCTCCATACAGCAGACCACACAAGACTTATGTTCCAGTCTAATTCACAGACACTTATTCAGCACAATGTTTTGATGCAACAGTGATCAAAGAAAACTTGTGTACACAGGTAACTGAACATTGGTCACAAGATTAAAAAGCATGTGCCACATAGAAAACCATATACTCTCCACTTGATTATGCACAGAATCAAGACCTGTTAACGGGGACAACTAATAAGAACATGAGCAAATGAAAAACAAGACTAGCACTGCATTAAGGGGCATTATAAAGGGGTTGTATTGGAGGCTTTCTTAAAAAAAAAAAAAAAAAAAAAAAGAGACATAATGACTCTTCTTGTACCATGAAAACTATTGAGGGTAGTTTTAATGTGCTCTGATGTTGAAAGGTGCCTTAAAGACATTCCGGATATTCTGGTCATATCTTCAAGTGACTATTTTGTTTCCACTAAGGTACAATACGCTCTTTGAAGTTTATGTTGTAACCTACGCTACATATGATGACCTGTACCCAAACCTGATGGGTCTTTCTCAGACTCATCAGTAATGTTTTTTAACCTGATCTAATAGCAAACCACTTCCAAATCTACTAAAGTAAAAATAACAAGTACAAAGAGATCAAAGTACAACCACAAACTACCGGAGGCTGATTCATACTCTCAACAAGAAAATAATATGCTCCTCTAATTAAATGACTGTGATTCTTTTTACCCATTTTAAAGGAAAACTGTCAGCTAAAATACAAGACAAAATGCAAGATTAAAGAAATGCCAGTGAGATAAAACTGCTATATTTTCACACACTCTAAAACAAGAAAAAAATATTTCTATTATGTAATTGATGACCACTTGAAAATTATATAACTTTAGATAAATCTGATATTAACAGAATTATTTCTAATAAGAAAAGAAAAATACAGGTATAAAGCCATGCTTGTCTTCAAGTTTCCCTTCTTTAATGGTATATACCAATTAGACTATTTCTACCTCAAACTCCTCATTTTACACCGCTGGTGGTTTGTATTAGTAAGGACCATGGGGAGGGTGGGAATCGGTAGTAGATACTTAGTAGACCAATACTTTTAAAACTATAGTTTGTTGAAAGCTTTCTCCAAATGAAAATGTATTTACCTGCATTGTTATAAGGTAGTAACATTGAAATGCAAGTCTTACTTTTCTTGTTTGTAATTACTTCCTTCCAACATACCATAAAGTCAAAGACGCAATACAGATAGTGTTCTTGGCTCTGTTTTGCACCTCCTACTTAGTTCATAAATATTAATTAATAGTATTTTAAAAATCACCATGATTGCCAAATTTGATTAATAATGATGTATTACCCTGACTCACAAAGCCCTTCACAAACAAAATCATAACCAATAATTTCCAAATTTTAAAATTAATTTTAATAGGTTTAAACTCTGATTTTTGCAAACTGCAAGTAATTTAATTGGCAATGTCAATCTACAGTAACACTTATCCTCCAAACCCTCAAATTTCTTTGAAATCCCATTTGAAATCTACTACTTTATTTTCTAGTACCATTTTTCAAACTACATTACTTACCCAACTAAGCCAACATCTGCTATAAGTTTCAAATCAAGATGAACAATTCGCCTCTGACCTTTGCAAGGCACAAAGTTTGTGGCCAAAGAGCCTCCAAGACCTCCACGTGCTGCCAAGAATCTCTCTCCTGCTGCATTAAGCTCTCCTGAAAATAAATTCACCAGTGAAAAAGCACAATCCCCCGCAGTAGTTCAGTTGTGACTTTACGCTTAAATCTACCTTCAATGAAGAGACAACTTTCTGTGGACTTCCTTGCAAGAGCTGTGCACTCGGGGTCAAGGTATTTTTCCTTCTTTGGAAACAAATGAAATCAGTCACACCCCAGTTTTGCCTTCTGTCATACAGTTAGTCACTTCAAGAAAAGTGTTAAGTACAAGCAGGCAAAGCACAGTAAAGATGGCAGTTTTGAAGCCTCCCATACTTGAATTCAAGAATGCAAGGAAAAATCTGCATTGATAGAGATGTGGCTACAGAAAACTCTTCGGAGGTTCCACATTCTTTCATTAAGATGCAGGCTATATCTCCCGTAGGGTTAGAATAATTAAAAAATAAAACAAAATGTAACATTTGAGTATATAATTCAGGGATATGTTTAGACACTGACACGCCTACATCATAAACAGTTCTTGCCAAACATCAAATTTTGTTCCAAATCAAAGTAATTTGTGACTTTAGTTTGAATGATGAGGAAAAAAACTGAGGAACAGCAAAGGAAACACTGAGATCTATTCCAAGAGCACTGTATTGAGAGATCTTCCCGGTTACTATCAAGCACCACTCTTTAAAAAAAGAGTGAAAACCAGGTATTTTAGATAACCTGAAGAGCTGACACTCAACAATGATCATTATCTTTTAACAAGTATCGTAATTCAGTAGTTATAGGGATACTTACCTGAGTTTATGGACACCTAATTTAAGTAAGGTCATTAATGATTCTGTGGAGGATCAGTATGGCTTCCAGACTTTAACACTTGTTTGCAAGGGCAATTTTCTTTCTGCTGCATATAGTTATACAAACTAACTCCTGCTAATTTCTGGAAGGGGTCTTTTCCAACAATTTCTACAGTGTTTTTTGTTCTGGTTTTTTTTCTTTGTCTAAAGTAAAACACACATGTATTTCGGCAGATATGTAAACTTAAAACATCATAGTGTTCTAAGCAGGACACATCCTAGAGCCCTAGTGTTCTAAGTCTGCTAAATGCTATCAATAAACACAACAGTATCTACCGGATAAACTAAAATAGAGCAAAAGTTCTTACCAATTTGCTTGCCATCATCACAATGAACTGAAATTCCCAGAGGCACATGAACTTCACAGTCTTTTCCTTTTTCACCTTTTAGTGCTTTAACACTGGGAGAAATTGAACCAGCCTTAGTAACTTAAGCTGATATTTTGCTTTCTGGAAAAGATGCATACAACAACTTTCGTTAAACGGACCCTTACCTGCTGTTGGCTCCTGTTCCAGCTACAAACCGCTTCAGAGGGTATTTCTCCCTAATGCTCTTTAAGGTAATTCTTTCTTGGGCGATGAACCAGACATCACCACCTCTTCCTCCTTCCCCGCCCAGACGAGGATAACCCATGCCACCAGTTCCTCCTCTCACATAGAGCCGTAAATTATCGATGAAGTTGCCATACTAAAAAACCCAACAGTTCTGTATCAGTATTTCGTTCTGTTTACATTTTGTGTTGTACAAATGTGTGTAAAACTGCTTCAATACAACTTTGATGGCAATAATTAAAGCTCAGAAAGCAGACACGTAACCCTCAATACTGGCTTTTAATAAGAAAACCGCTTGGCCTATCTTCCCCGGCAGCGGTACCTCTCAGCCTGCCCGCCCTGCAGCACCCCAGGCAGCGGACACGGAGACACGCGTGGGACCGCGTCAGCACCTCACCGCACCTCCGCCCGGCACCTACGGGCCTCCTGCGAGGGGCCGTGCCCGCAAGTCGCTGACTCCCGGGCCAGACCGGGGAAGGGAAAGCGGG